TTCAATACTGAGGATCACTTGTGAGGCAGGTGCACTTATGCTGCTGAGCTATCGCTCTGGCCTCAGCCCTTTTTTATTTTGAGAGACTGGATCTAAGTCACAAAGTTGCCCAGCCTGGGCTTGAACTTGTGATCTTCTTGATCTTCAGCCTGCCAGAGATCTGGGATTACAGGAATGTACTACATATCTGGCTTGTTCATTTTTTTTTTTTTTTGGTGTGTGTGTGTGTGTGTGTGTGTGTGTGTGTGTGTGTGTGTGATTGAGACAGGGTTTCCCTATGTAATGGTTCAGGCAGGATTTGAACTATGTAGCCCAGACTGGCCTTGAACTTGTGGTTTTCTTTTCTTTTAGCCTCCCAAGTGTTGGGATTACAGGTGTGCACCATCACACATGCCCTGCTGTAGTTTGTATTTTTTAAGAGACAGAATCTTGCTATAAAACTCTGTATGTGTGCCAGACCGGCCTCACTCATGGTGCTCCTCCTGCCTCAGCTCAAGTGCGGGGATGACACCTATGCCTGGCTACTGGCTACTGTAGTTCATTTCTTAAAATGCAGTATCAAGTTCAGGGGCAGCTGGTTCTTCATTACATCTGTTTGTGTCTTACACCAGCCCAGCAGGGCAGGTTGTGACGATGGCTGGGGTATCTCCAACTCTGGCTTGGGAACAACAGAACTGCTTTTATCTTGTCTTATACTTTACTGTGTGACTCTAAAGGGCTCACCATCAGTAAAATGAAGCAACTCCTGCTTTCAGGAGGCTGTTAGGCCTGCAAGCGACTGAATGCAGTGTTCAGTGCTCCATCTTGCACAGAGCAGGCATGTGGCACCCTGTTGCGCCCCACCTTGTGTCCCGAGGGGTCTGAGCAGAGGCCGCATGCACAGCCTGGTCTAGCTGGCTGCTCATGCCTAGGATGGAAGTTGGGATAGGTTACGCTAACCTGGCGCACTGCTCTGCCTTCAGGGTCGCATTCTCACTCCCAAAACCTGTCATTGCTTTGGCATTTGACCCTCAGCAGCTTCCTTTCTCACCCTTTCCCGGACCCTGTGTGCTCCTTACAGTAACAACCACCACTGTCATTCACACAAAGGTAGATCCGGCTCATTTTTATACCTATTGTCTACCAAACACCAGCTACAGCCTCCTTGTAGTTATCTGTCTGCCACAGAACCTGAGGCACCTGCTGTCTTCTCAAGTTCTTTAGCCTGGGCCTGGTCGTCCATTTGATGGTAATTAGGGACACTCAGATAGGAGGCACCCACTGCTAGTGATTCCCTGAGGCCGCCTCCTACCCCCAATTCTAAGCCCACCCTTTTTCTTGTGAACACTGATTTGTAGGCAGCAAACTACCCTTTTCTTCCCAAACCACCACCTCCCTGCAGAAAGCTTCATTTCCTAGCTCTGCTGGGAATTTCTCAGGGGCACTGCATTTTCTCTTTCCCAGCTGGCAAAGTATGGGGACAAAACATTGGAAGATGAGAAGTGTTTCGCCTTCAGACCCACCCCCCTTGCTTTCTCTAGAGAGTCTCCACCTCAGGCCCTGGGCCCCAAGGCAGCTCCCAGGTCAGAGCTATAGCTGCTGTCATGCTGTGTGACTCCCACAAGCCATCCACCTTCTGTAGGCACTGTCTGCCCTACGAGTGGGACAGCGGGGAAGCTTACAGATGGGAGAGCCCAGTGAGCCCCCAGAAGAATGGCAGGGAGGACTGGGGGTCAGAGGAGAGAAGCATCAGACAAACCAGTGGTTCTCTTGATAGTTTAATGTTATATTTGCAGCATAAATAAGGCACAATATATGTCAGGGCCAGGAAAGGAGGGAGAAGAAGGCATGGCTGGGGGTAACTGCTAAGTGGCAAGGGGAGGAGGGAGGGAGGGAGGGAGGGAGGGCCGGCACACAGTCCCTACCTCAGCCCCGCCTGCCCGGGAGAGTGTGAGAGCCTGCTCACAGGGCCATGCTGACTGGCGGTGCCAAGGGGGATGTTGGGCTTGTAACAAAAGAGCCTGTGGCGCTATATCCTTCCACCTGGCAGGATCACCGCTGGAGCCTGGGGAGATCCAGGGCATGCAGAGTTCCTTGATGAGATGGAGGGGTTGCCACATGTCAAAAATATATAGATGAGCAGAAATATAATCGGAGATACACACTGCTTTCTTCTTCACAGATACTATATGAGGATGCAGCAGCCTCCACTGTCGGGGCTGGAGGCTTATCTCCTCCCTGCCTGTAAGGGGTGTGTGTGTGTGTGTGTGTGTGTGTGTGTGTGTGTGTGTGTGTAACGGGGCAGCCAAAGCTCTGGTTGGTTCTTAATGTAACCAAGACACCAGTGACCAGTTTGCAAGGGAATATGGAGAGCTGTCCAGACTAACGCAGGGACAAGTTTTAGACAGAAGACTAAAAGGAAGACAAACCTAGAATTTGAGATGAGTGACATGGTGGCTGTTTTAATGGTGTGAAGGGAGGAATCGGAAGAAATGGAAAAACGTGGTAGTGCTAAGGCAGAGAATGGTGTTTAAAGAATCCTTAATGCCTTAGAAGAAGATACCAGGTTGTCCCTAAGGCAACAGCTCACAAACTTAGTGTGTATGAGAAGCACTTGGAGTGCTTCTGATTCAGGAGGTCTGGCGTGGCTGAGAATGTGCGTTTCTAACAAGCTCCAGGTTGGGCTGCTCTGCTGGTAGCCCTGGACCATTTTCTGAGAACCACTGCCCTAAGGTAAAGTCAGTGACACTAGTGCTCATGGCCACTTACAGCTAAAACACCAGTCACTAGCAGCTTGGGCACGATCCCTTTGTGCTGCAGCCCAGCCCCATTAAAAAACTAAAATGAGCTTTAGGAGCTGCAATGCACACTGCCATCTACAGTGGACATAAGCAGCCTTACCCTGCCCCTTCTCCCAACCTTTTCTCATCTTGAGGTAGGATTTTACCCCAAACAAGAAACTTCAACTGGCGCAGAGGGTGGGAATGCTGGCCAGCAGCCAGTCGTCTATGCCCACGCCTGCTGGCTGGGTGGGGGTTTGTCTGTGCACATCCATCTGTGCAGATACAAACAGTTCAGTTCTGTGCTTGGAGAGGGGCGGAGGATTAAGGAAGCTATAGTGGGGTGTGGGGACCCTCACCTGTCCGGCTCTTTCACGCCTCCCACCTGGGTCAAACATAAGTCTAAGAAAGCAGAAAGAGCTTATCAATAGAAGGGATATATGATATAGTGAGGAGGACTGAAATTGGAACAGACTATGAAAAAAATAAGTAACATATTTCCTCTCTGTGTATACAATGTATAATATTAATGGGAAAATGACTTGGGTGGAAAGGGATTATGAAGGGGCGAGGTTTTGGTGGGAAGCTGTCTCATGGGGTAGCACCTGCAAGGAGCCTCTTGGTGTGGAGCCAGGGAGCCTCCCAGAGCAGAGGAAGGATTTTTGGTGCCTGGTGGTTCACAGGCAGGGGAAGGTGCTGGAGGGCAGGCCCTTGAGGAGTTAGAGGCCAGTCAGAAGGGAGCTGAAAGCTACAACAGGGACAGCGAAGGGGGGCAGCAAGGCAAGTTCAGCTGGCCCAGCTCCTCTTTAACAAACCCCTGTAAATGGGCTAGTGCTTAGGGCAAGGAGAGGAGCAGAGGCAGGAAGGAGCTGTGTGTGGGGTGTCCAACCCACAGGAAAGCGTGTATAGTCTGCCTTGGTTGTGTGAGAGGCTCTGTTAAGAGAGTGGGGCAGTGGGTGTGTTGGCCAGAAGGCCTGGGTCTCACCCCCTTTGCCTAGAGTGACGTAGGGGCCTGGGTCCTGTGTTCATTCGGCAGAGCCCTAAGATGTCCACACTTGTCTCCTTTTTCAAAGGGTCCTTAGACCCCAGGAAGCCCATGGCCTTGAGAAGGACTGAGTAATACCCTGTACGGTATCTGGTTCTGGTCCAGGTAAGCATGGAAGGCAAAGGCCAGCGCACAGTGACCACAAGGCTGGCAGCAGTAACGAGTGAGGGGCTCCTTAACCAAATGCAAGGCTTCAGTGAGAGACTATGCTGTTGCCTTTTCAGGCAGACCCAAGGCCACCCCCAGGTCCCTGTGGTTCTGTCCTGCCCCATCCTCATTTCAGTGCTGCTTCACTATATGGTTCTAGCAGAGGCCCTCATTTAGGTCCAATACTAACTTCTTGCTGATGAAAATGATTAAAAACTCAAGAGAATTAAGTATGGGGCTAAGAAACTTAAAAAAAAAAAATCCCTCTACAAAGAGCTAATCAACAAAGGTTGTGTGTGCAGTGACAAACTGATTTTAACCCTAAAAACACTTGACTAAAGGGGGAAGAAAAACAGACAAAGGTCTAATGAAGAAAGCTCCTTAGGAGCCATAAACTTAGTCATGCTATAGGGAAAGGCTGCTAGTGGGAAATCAGGACAGTAAGAAATGAAACAAGATTCAAAAATGGGTGGAAAAAAAGCCCTGGGAGCAACTATCTGAAATGTCCTGAGCACAGGTGATGGCTCTGACTGTTTCAAGGGAAGCAAAGTCCCTCTGCTTTGAGGTGAGGCCTGCATCCTGACCATCTGCCATGACACTTGCTAGCTGCAGCACCCCAGGGCTTTTCCTGTTCGGTCCCTGGCGACAGGGGTTAAGAAAACCACGTTGCTTTCCTTTGTCTTCCCCAGGTATGGCTCGTTCAGCACCAGCGATCAAGAGCAGGGAATTTAAAGCAAAGGCAGCAGAGCGCATCACCTGACTGGCTTGCCGGGGTATCATTCTGAGGAGATGTGAATCTCGTGCATTTCCCCATGACAGCCAATTTTGGAAGACAAAGTAAGAAAAGAAGCTGGCAGTTACTTGGTATGTTTAAGATGGAGGCAGGAAAGACATTCTTGGAGAAAAGGACATTCTTGGCTTTGGCAGATGGCAGCAGGTGGCCCTGGGACAATTGGAAGGGCTTCATACTAAGGGGTTATTAAAACTGACCTATCTATCCACAGGCCTGTGGCTTTGGATTTTGTCCTCTCGCCTTGTAAAAATTGCATAGTTCAGAGCCAAGAGAAGATGAGAAGTCCTAATGGCGAAGGAAGAGGAACAGGGGAATGAATTTCTCCCTCTGAAACCCAACTCTAAAGATTTTTGAAGAACGGCTGACAGCCACAGTCTACAATTTCCCAGCAGGCCAGCCATCACCTTCCCTGCTCAGAATAGTACTGTACCTTTGCGCTCCCTCCCTCCCTTCCACTCAACCTCAGGTCACTTGGCCATTGAACCCTGGCAATTTTGCTTCAGTCTTAGAGCGTGTACTAGGGAGAAGTATGTATTGCATTTTAGCGCAAAGGACAGAAATGAGCTGAAGAAGCTGTGCAGGACCAGGAAGACCTAATAGGCAGACTAGGAAACTGGTGTGAGAGCAAAAGTAGTCTAGAAATGATGGGCACTGGTACAGGATATAGCTCAGAAAAGACACATGAGGCTGAGAGATGGAGGAAGAGTGAGAGTGCCCCACGTGACAGTCTCCAGAAGGCTGACTGAGCTAGTTACAGTGGATAGAGAGAGGCAGTAATGTGGACAGGGATTGAAGAGTGGCAGGAGCATTAAGGTGACCAGAAGTGACAATGTGCCTAACTTTGGCCAGTAAACTCTGTGAAACAAAAGAATGAGTTAATCCAGTAACCTGGGAACAAGCTTTACGTGCTTTTGTTCCTGTCTGCCCTGATGATTACAAGTCAAGGAGGATGGAGGTTGAGGGACTCACTAGTCAAGATCCCTGCCTAGTTCTGTTTTCACTGCCAAGTGAAACTTGACAATAAGGCCACATGATGAGGTTGCTAAGGCTCAGTGGAGAAGTTGTGGCAAAGTCAAGATACTACTAGACTAGGGAAAGTCAGGTTGAGGACAAAATGAGGTACCCAAATACTTCTGAAAATAGATGAAAAAGGAGAACAACTCTTGGAGTTTTGCTTGTTTCTTTTTGCTCACTTGCTCTCTGTCTGTCTGTCCTCTGTCTGTCTGTCTCTGTCTCTCTGTCTGTCTCCTCTCTTTCTTTTTTGGTAGCCAGTAGGGAAAAGGAATAAACCTCACGGGAGAGCTGGGCAATACTGCTATTTCATACATCTAAAGGAACCTTACATTCTCCGTAAGTGAATGTTTTAATGAGAATTTGGAAAGGGGAAAAGGGATAAATTAGTAGCTACTGGGGGACAAAGTCCTGAGTCCATGGGCGCTAGGGATGGGACAGCCTTCTTCTGTCTAGCAGGAACTGGCATGCTGGTAAGGAACAAGAAGGTAACAGCCACAGCTTAGTGAGAAGAACTGAGAAACCCCAAACCTAGAAGTGCCAGGGTTAGTGTTAAAGAGACAGATATACGTGCACAGGGCATGGACGATTGCTCAGACAATCTGGGTAGGTCTGAGGCTGTGAGTACATCAGAAACGCCACCCTAGGGGTGATCTAGGTGGTTCTGCAGCTGGGATGCCCCCAGTACAAATATCAAGTGTACATGACCACGTGGCTAAGAGAAAAGCCCCATGTCTATACATACTCACAACACACAATTTTGCCCCCCATGTTTCCATGTCCAAGGTGGATGGGAGGGGACAGGATGACATCTCTCTGGGCTCTTGGGCGGGCGAGCTCTGGCTGGGACCTCTCCACCAGGGAAGGCATCATCTGCCTGCAGACTGGGACTGTGGGGTCATGATCACATGTGGCTGCATGGGCATGCTCAGTTCTGTCCTTTGGCTGGCCATCTGAGTGAGGACTGAGGTGGCAACAGCTTCAGCTGCAGATCGAACGCTGAGGCCATTGCTAGGTGCTGTTGCTGAGCTGTGCTGAATCACAGGAGCTGGAGAACCCGTTGGCTCTGAGCTTTCCTTGGGGCTCTCTGCCAGGAAGGAGGGCAAAGAGCAGAAAAGATGTGGTTAGAAAACTGAACAGGGATGTAGGCAAGACTAACTTTTGTATAGTTCTAAAAAGGACTCCAAAGAAAAATGAAACAGTTTTTTTGGGGGAAAATGTCCTAGAATTCTAGCTTTTTTTTTTTTTTTCCAAAGTCTTGCTATGTAGTCCAGGCTGGCCTTGAACTCAGTACGTAACCCAGATTGGCCTCACATTCCCAGGGATCCTCCAGCCTCAGCCCCTCAAGTGCTGGGACTACAAGCATGCACCACCAGACTTGGCCAGTGACTGAAATTTATCCTATTTTATGGCTGAGGAGTAGCCCATTGTGTTCGTGTGTCACATTTTCTTTATGCATTCATCTGCTGATGGACATAGAGGCTGCTCCCAAGATTTAGCTATCATGAGTTGTGCTGCTATCAACAGACTTATGACAGTAACATTTTACTACTACACACAAATGTCTGAGCTGCATGTAAAGATAACTCCATGATGTTCAGTGAAGAAGTTTTATCAAACATCAGACAGCCAGTGTGCCTGCCTAAGCAGAGATGTGTGGAATTAGGGAAATGGGTGGTTTACCTCTTTTTATTTTTAAATATTTTATTCATTTTTGCTATAATGAGGTCAAGCCCAGAGGTACTCTACCACTGAGTTACACTCCTAGTCCTTTATATTATTTATTTTTGCAATACTTGGGGTTGTTCTTGAGGTCTTTGTACTGAGCTATATTCCTAGCTAAGTTTTTTTTGCTTTGAGACAGGATCTTGCTAAATTGCTCAGACTGGCTTGACCATGCGATCATCCACCCAGCCTCCCAGCTCACTGAGAACACACACATGTGCCACCACACCATTCTGGGGCAGAGTCTTGCTAAGTTGATCAGGAAGGACTCAAATTTGGGATCCGCTTGCCTCCATATCCCCAAGGGCTGAGATCACAAGTGTATGCTACTGTGCCTGGCTTAATTTTTCTTTTAATTTTTTTTTTATGTGTGTGTGTGTGTGTGTGTGTGTGTGTGTGTGGCCAGCTCAGCCCACCAGGGGGCAGGGCTGGCTGGCATGTGGTGCTGGGGGA